TCTTAAAATCAGTGGGGTTTTTTTTTATTATCTTAAGGCCAGTTAGTTATATGTCAGCTTGTACACCTAAATTCGGCCAATCATATATCAACGTTCATCTGTCAATCAAATTTTTTCAGGCATAACATCTCAATTCATATGTCGCAGCTAATATACGCAATGGTTCGAATAAGAAATAGGAATCATTTCCTTTCCCATTGAGTTCCGTCTCAGTGTTCACGGGGATGGACGTCTGTGTCTTCAGCAGGCGTAGAGCTAACAGAACTGGTAGGTTTGCGAGGCAAGGGCTCAAACATGTACGGCTGTAAGCCTTCTACACCAAACCAAGCTTCTGCTGCCCTGGCGTCCTCTTCCACAACAACTTCGTCCCCGCTTTCCTCCTCTAAATAAAAAATGTATGATGGAGGAGACTCATCCATGACCTCCGACACTAAATTCTCCTCCTCTTGCATGTTTCCTCTGTCCATAGCGTTCCTTGACAGTGTTGTTTCTAAGTCACCAATTAAGTGCTACTTGTTCCCAATGTAATTTTCCATTGGGAACCTACTAGCACTAAGTAGCTAACTGGTTAGCAAGATGCTTCCGATGAACCTTGTGAACCTTCCGCCACAACAATCCCGCCCTCATGATAAACGACTCACATTAACTTTATTCACTCGTGTAAAGTCGGTCACCACTCAGGAGAATTCGGAAATGCAACGGTTGGAACGGCCGTTTACCTACAACTTTAAAAGTCTTCATGTATTAACTATTCCTAATTTTCTAAAAGTAAATCTTAATTTTGCTTGTTATTTCTTTCTTTAACTTACATCTTTTTATACAGTAATTAACAGGTAAAAACACAATAAACACTGTAAAAACCAGCACTTTTGAAGAATGAACTGGAGATTTTTTTTTTATTAAACAAAAAAATGTTTGCTTGTGTCTCATGGACTCTTTGAACTATGCTAACGTAAAGAGAGCTTCACTTTATCTTAATACTGTTGCTTTAAAAGATAAGTCCCTTCATGATGCCCATCTCCTGTTTGAACAGGGTGTACTGTAAAGGCATTCTTCATGCTGTGTACTGTTACAATACTAAACATGCTTGATGAACCCAGTAACCTCAGCTGACAGCAGTTTGGGCTCTGATCACCCTTTAAATTGGATAAAAATCTGCCCTCTGGCTAAATTCCTTTAAATGTTCAAACTGTTATCTCATAATTACATTTGTCCAATTGGTAATTGTCTTTATGACCCTTGTAAAATGTTTGCGTTTTTTGTCAGTGTTCTCAGAGCTGAGGAACCTCATTTATATTAATAAAGCTGAGATTCAGGAGGATTATGCAACTTTATGTTGTCAGCGATTCGTCTTAGTGACATAGAAACATGTTTTTTTTCTTAGAAATCTCCTGATTTTATTAACACATCTTTTCAAATTAGAAGTATTAGAAGGATTTTATTAGTGAAAGAAAGTTAAAATTACTTTAATTACTTCCAGCGGTAACTAATGAATCAGCTGTGATTAATCCGTTTTTGATAAGCTGTGTTTAAAGGGTTATATAATAGTTTTTATTTTTGTCTTTGAGGAATCAGAATACCTCCTCAGCTTTAGGTCCTGTTTCATGAACACCAAAGCTCATATAGTTTCTGAGCACTATTTGTTCTCCATCCCTCATGGAATCCAATATTGCTTTTCACTTTTTCACATCGTATCTTGGACTTTTCCTTTTTCTTTTGGCACCAGGAACACAATTGCTGATGGTTTTCCTGTTTTTCTTTTTTATTTCTTTTATTATTATTTTTATTTTTTTCCAGTTTTTATAAAAAAGCTTGAGTCACCTGGTCTGGCTATGGTATATTTTTAAAAAGTGTTCTGGCTACTAACAAATAGACCAAATGAATTGTAACAAAGATGAGTGAGTGAATTAATTTAGGTATGTATATATGTGTGTGTATATATATATATATATATATATATATATATATATATATATATATATATATATATATATATATATATATATATATATATATATATATATATATATATATATTTGGTTCACGGTTTCGTTGTCACGGTTTTCGGTTCGGTTCGGTATATGTTTATTGTTACACCAAAAAAAAAAAAATTAATAAAAATTATTAAAAAAAAGAATGAAAAAAAAAATGAATGAGATTAATGAAAAAAAATCCCCAAAAATTAATGAATTGTAATTATTTTTATTGATTTGCGGAAACCCTGGATCATTTCCGTATGTTTTGCTGCTTTGAATTTAATCATCTCTCGCATGCTCTCTACGATCTCCAAGGAACTCAGAGCGGAGCGGACGGGAGCCACAGTGGAGGCTGTAGGCTTTGCTTTGAGCAGGCAGTCTGGAGCGCAGCGGGGTGGAGTGGAGCGCTGATGGAGTATGTGGGATTTCGGGGTTAGCATGACATGTTGGTCGTGTTGCTGTTAGCATAAACAAAACGTGTTGCACAATGCTTGCACACTGTTGCACTTTTATCCGCAACACCCCGTTACTGCGCGTTACTCAGGTCGCACAATGAACCTTTTTTTTCATGATAGGACTCGTGCGCGCCTTGTCATGAGAGAGGGGAGGATGAGAATGGCTGATGTATAGTGAGATTCCGTCTCTCAGTTGGGTAGGTGGGTGTTTCCACTGGTGGGTGTTAACGTACAGCACACACAGAGAGATGGAGAGTGAGTATGACTCCAGCGGCAAAAAAACGTTTTCCAGATGGAAATACTGGTGTTACGTCGAGCTGCGTGTCCCCATCACATACGGTTTCCTCTGCATCTCCGCACAGCGCAGGATTCACCGCGCAAGCGACAGGAAACGCGCATGCCCGCTAAAGGCGCGCAACAGTCGCCCTGTGCTCGCGCCACAGGAGAACTATGGAGAGCCTACATGGAGAAAGGGAGAAGGATGGATGGATGGATGGATGGATGGATGGAGACTGCCTTTTCAACCTACTGTATTTTTTATTTTAAACATTATTTGATGGCCTTTTTGGCAGGGATGGAGATCCATATTTTATGTCACACACAGAGTATACATCTAGATAGATAGATGTTGCAGTATCTATAACAACCCAAACACACAGGATTTCAGAATTAGACATCCCCAGTTATTAATTTCATATACTCACCAGATCTGAATGTCCTGTTAAAAAACTTCACATGGCGTTCCCCCCTGATGTCATTTATGTTGAGTTGCAATAAATGCTAAACTCTCTGCAGGTTCTTGTCTTTGTCGTCCGCTCTGTTCAGCTGGCTTTGGAAACACACGGCGAGAAGGTGGGGGCCGGGTGGTGAGGGTTACAGGGGCGAGAAACGCAAAAGTAACGCAATAGTTACTTTTACTAGTAACTAGTTACTTTTATTGTGGAGTAACTCAGTTAGTAACTCAGTTACTTTTAGTAACTCAGTTACTTTTTGGGAGAAGTAACTAGTAACTATAACTAATTACTTTTTCAAAGTAACGTGCCCAACACTGTATATATATATATATATATATATATATATATATATATATATATATATATATATATATATATATATATATATATATATTGGGGTCACCCAAAAAATTTTGTGTTTTCCTGAAAAGTCACACTCATTCACCACCATATGTTGTGAAATGAATAGAAAATAGAGTCAATACATTGAAGAGGTTAGAAATAAATATTTGTTTTTGAAATAAGATTTTTTTTACATCAAACTTTGCTTTCATCAAAGAATCTTCCATTTGCAACAATTACAGCATTGCATCCTTTGGCATTCTAGCTGTTAATTTGTTGAGGTAATCTGGAGAAATTGCACCACACGCTTCCAGAAGCAGCTCCCACAAGTTGGATTGGTTGGATGGGCACTTCTTGTGTCCATACGGTCAAGCTGCTCCCACAACAGCTCAATGGGGTTCAGATCTGGTGACTGCGCTGGCCACTCCATTACCGATAGAATACCAGCTGCCTGCTTCTGCTCTAAATAGTTCTTGCACAATTTGGAGGTGTGTTTAGGGTCATTGTCCTGTTGTAGGATGAAATTGGCTTCAATCAAGCTCTGTCCACTGTGTATGGCATGGCGTTGCAAAATGGAGTGATAGCCGTCCTTACTCAGAATCCCTTTTACCCTGTACAAATCTCCCACCTTACCAGCACCAAAGCAACCCCAGACCATCACATTACCTCCACCAGGCCTCCCACTTCTTTTTCTACTCTGGTTAGAGCCTGTTTGTGCAGTCCTCTGAAGGGAGTAGTACACACCGTTGTAGCAGGACCGCTACCTCCATCTTTGTGCAAGGAGGAACAGGAGGAGCACTGCCAAAATTACCTTCAAAAGGCCACAAATGTGCATGGGTCTGCACAAATGAGGATGTATGAGGGCCTGTCGCCCACAGATGGAGGTTGTGCTCACAGACTAACACCATGCAGGGTGCTTGGCATTTACCAGAGAACACCAGGATTGGCATATTCGCCACTGGCACCCTGTGCTCTTCACAGATGAAAGCAGGTTCACACTGAGCATATCTGACACAGAGTGGAGAGCAACCAGCAGTATGCAGCATCCCTCAGCATGGCCAGTGGGTTTGACAGTGGGTCAGTAATGGTGTGGGGTGGAATTTCTTTGGAGGGCCACACAGCCCTCCATGTGCTCAACAGAGGTAGCATGGCTGCCATTAGGCACTAAGATTAGTTTTTCCGACCCCTTGTCAGACCATATGCTAGTGCTGACACAAAAAAATGAAATGAAATGAAAAAGAGGATCTGTAAAGGATTTTGGGGGTGGGGGTGGGGGTGGGGTCATCTTTTTAGTGGAGTCAGATAAAAATAATTTTTTCTCCCATTTAGCTTTTTTTCCGGTTGTTCTCCTTTTTTGTTGCAGTGATTTTGGTTTGCAGATGGTTTTAACATGTACGGATTTGCCTCTAGGAAAAAGGGCTTCAGAGGGCTGATTTAGTGGATGTTCCTGTGCTGTGCTTTGAACTCTGTCCACCTCTTTCTATCTGATTTAGGATGGCCCACGTTCTGCAATTTGATGAGCAAAGCAGAAAAGTCAAGGATGCCAACATGCAGGATGAAGATACATTCGAGATCTATGATCCGCGCAACCCAGTCAACAAGCGAAGGAGAGAGGAGAGCAAGAAGATCATGAAGGAGAAAAAGGCCAAAAGGTGAAGTGCTGAAGGGTCAGAGGTGTGTTCCTGCCAGGGTCACTCAGCATCCTGCCTGGCCACTTTCCCATCGCTTCAGAAGGGCTTTGCTTAATAATCTCTCATGTTGAACATCTGGGTTGAGGATGCCGGGCTTAGCTTATCTGTGATTGAACAGCTGTTCTGGTTGCTGCTCAGCTCCTCAGCAGAAGTAACACACTGCAGTCATTAAAAGGTAGATGATTACTCGGTGTACCGTTCATTTCTGACTTTATGTTTAGGGTTATTTACACTGTGAGAAAAAAATCTGTAAAAGTTTCCTGAAACAAAATAAACCACATTCTTTTAAGTGTTTTGGTTCAATGGCAATTTTTTTTTTCTTTTTTTCTTTACTCCTGGAAAAACAAAATTGAAACCTGAAGTGAAAAATTTTTCGTTTTATGATGTAGAAACCTTTAAATCTTTTCCCAGTTTGTCTGCTTCATTGGAGTTTTATTCAACTGATCAAAAATCAATAAAACATTTTTCTAAGGTGTAATTTATTTTCAAAACATGTTACAAGTACATATCTGACAAAATTCGTATTTACAGGTGCTGGTCATAAAATTAGAATATCATGAAAAAGTAGATTGATTTCAGTAATTCCATTTAAAAAGTGAAACTTGTATATTATATTCATACATTACATACAAACTCATATATTTCAGATGTTTATTTTGTTTAATTTTGATGATTACAAATGACAACAAATGAAAATCTCAAATTCATCATATCAGAAAATTAGAATATTGTGAAAAGGTTCAAAATTGATGGCCCCTGGTGCCACACTCTAATCAGCTAATTAACTCAAACCACCTGCAAAAGCCTTTAAATGGTCTTTCAGTCTAGTTCTATAGGCTACACAATCATGGGGAAGACTGCTGACTTGACAGTTGTCCAAAAGACGACCATCGACACCTTGCACAAGGAGGGCAAGACACAAAAGGTCATCGCTAAAGAGGCTGGCTGTTCACAGAGCTCAGTGTCCAAGCACATTAATAGAGAGGCGAAGGGAAGGAAAAGATGTGGTCGAAAAAAGTGTACAAGCAAGAGAGATAACCGCACCCTGGAGAGGATTGTGAAACAAAACCCATTCAAAAATGTGGGGGAGATTCACAAAGAGTGGACTGCAGCTGGAGTGAGTGCTTCAAGAACCACCACACACAGACGTATGAAAGACATGGGTTTCTGCTGTCGCATTCCTTGTGTCAAGCCACTCTTGAACCACAGACAGCGTCAGAAGCGTCTAAAGAGAAACAGGACTGGACTGCTGGTGAGTGGTCCAAAGTCATGTTCTCTGATGAAAGTAAATTTTGCATTTCCTTTGGAAATCAAGGTCCCAGAGTCTGGAGGAAAAGAAGAGAGGCACTTCATCCACGTTGCTTGAAGTCCAGTGTAAAGTTTCCACAGTCAGTGATGGTTTGGGGTGCCATGTCATCTGCTGGTTTGTCCATTGTGTTTTCTGAGGTCCAGGGTCAACGCAGCCACATACCAGGAAGTTTTAGAGCACTTCATGCTTCCTGCAGCTGACCAACTTTTTGGAGATGCAGATTTCATTTTCCAACAGGACTTGGCACCTGCACACAGTGCCAAAGCTACCAGTACCTGGTTGAAGGACCATGGTATCCCTGTTCTTAATTGGCCAGCAAACTCTCCTGACCTTAACCCCATAGAAAATCTATGGGGTATTGTGAAGAAGAAGATGCAATACACCAGACCCAACAATTCAGAAGAGCTAAAAGCCACTATTAGAGCAACCTGGGCTATCATAACACCTGAGCAGTGCCACAGACTGATCGACTCCATGCCACGCCGCATTGCTGCAGTAATACAGGCCAAAGGAGGCCCAACTAAATACTGAGTGCTGTACATGCTCATACTTTTCATGTTCATACTTTTCAGTTGGCCAACATTTCTATAAATCCTTTGTTTTTATTGGTCTTCAGTAATATTCTAATTTTCTGATATGATGAATTTGAGATTTTCATTTGTTGTCATTTGTAATCATCAAAATTAAACAAAATAAACATCTGAAATATATGAGTTTGTATGTAATGTATGAATATAATATACAAGTTTCACTTTTTAAATGGAATTACTGAAATCAATCTACTTTTTCATGATATTCTAATTTTATGACCAGCACCTGTATATTCAGCCTCTACAATACCTCTAAATGAAATCCTTCCATTTACCGTCACAAGTGACCTAATTAGTAAATAGAGTCCACCTGTGAGCCAATGAGTGCTTGGATAGGTTCATCTGTTTAGCAAGGACCTCATAGTTGTTTTAGTAACTCAGGGCGGTTCCAGTCCCAGCCCGTTGACTCTCAATCCCTTTCCAAAAAGGAGTTAAAAAATAACAATAAAAAATGGCTCAACTACAAACCTACCAAAACATGGCGGAAATGACCCATTCAAAATGGATGCTGTCACATCTACAGTAGTTATATTTTCCTCCTAACCCTTTGCATGTATGTAGTATTTATATAGCATATTTCAAATCAGAAAATAAAAATAAAGTACCATTGCAGCTGCACAGAGGCAACACAAATAATTAGAGAATAAAAGTGAATAATTAGAATAAGATTGGACTGAAAACAGATCCATAGCATACAGGTACGTTATAATAATAATAAAAAAAAAATCTTAATTGAAAGCAACTGACAGTTTCAGCACTTATGTTACTTATGTTATGTTTCAGCACTTACTAATGTTTTCTGGAAGTATCTTCCAAATGGGTGGAGCATAAGAACCTAAAGCTGCTGCTCCATGTTAGGTTCTGGTTCTACATCTCCAAAGTAGTTTTCTATGTATTGCATCCTGGTGCTGAGTCATGCAGGGATTTATAGAGTGACACAAGGAAGCATGAGATACAAGGAGCTAGCCATAGATTTTAGAGCTGGGATGATGTGCTCCACTTTCTTAATTGTAGGGCCCTGTCACACCTTGCTGATTTAGGCAGTGTATGCCTGATGTTCCAGAATCTCCTAAAACATGTGCATACGCTGAACTTTCTATGTATTTTTTCAATTTTGGGTGTCTACATAGCGTATTCATAACGAGTCCAGAACTTCTGCCCAACGACAGCTTAACTTATCCATAACGCACGGCAGCGTAATGCGCATGAAATGATGCGCAAGCCAGTGACCTGAGGGGGGCAGCGATGTGCCAGGTCTGTATAAAAAGATGCGTTTGATCGCAGTATAAACCTAGTTGCTGTTTACCGCCCGCCAGGAAAAAAAGAACAACAAAGAAGGTTTGCAGTTGCAGCAGATCAGTGTCATTGCTAAGTAGTTTGTTGGTCGTGGGCGTGAACGGAGGGAGGATCCATCACACTCAGCTTCTTGTTCACCCTATGATAGGGATGAAGTCTGGAGGAGAACTGACGGTTTCCTCCTGTGAACCCCCTTTTATACCAAAACGCTGCCAATGCGCCATTTTACAGTAGCTGTAAGTTAAAAACACGCTCAGCAGGTGGCTGGAACACATCAGATATGGTGATGTGCATCGGAGATCAGTTCTTGATAAGTTGTGCATTATTTATGCATAAGTTCCTCATAGGTTTTGGATAGGCTGGACACCACGAATTATGAGTAAATTACAACATATGTCCACGATCAGATAACTTACCTGTAACCTATGGCCCACGCATGAGCATAGGCTGGCATACGTCGGTGAAGAGGTTGTGAAGTGAAGAGGTTGGGTCTTTTCAAAGATTCACAAAAATCTTCCACAATACCTTTAACATTTCAGTAGATATTGAATAAAAGGGACCCTAAGATGGACCCTTGGAGAACGCCACATGATTTTTGTGGTTTCTAATGTAAAGTTACCTGCTGACACAGAGCTCCTTTCCTTCAATATGGATTTAAACCAGTATAGACTGATAATGGAGTCATCAACAGTGTGGAATCCTGCACTAAGGTCCAACCAGTGAAACTAAGTGGCAAATAGTCTGACAGCTTGTCAGAATGAGGTATGCTGTCTTTAAATGACAGTTTTACATCTCTGGATATTTGAAATAATAAGTGATTTAGAGTTTTTGTCATGTTTATTTTTTTTTGGTTTGTCTAAAAACATCTAGTTTAATAATGTGTAAGAAAACCTTCTTGTTTTTGAAACACACTACTGAACGCATAGAAAAAGTTTCCAAACTACAAATTGTTTTTGCTTTTATTCAGTTTTTTTTATTATTATTATTTTATTATCTAATTCATGTAAAGTACTTTGAATAATACATGCACTGAATTGTGTTATATTAATAAACTTGCTTTGCCAAATGCAAAAAATAGATGCAAAAAATAGAGAAAGCTTCAACCAGGGACACTTTTTCTCCCTGTGCTCTGAAATGCTACTTGCTGCAGCACTATTTGTTCTATTGCTGTCCTGAGATTGTGCTTCAGTTTTTCATGTAAAGCTGAGCTGATCAGTGTCCACGTGAGGCCAAAAATGTGAAACAGGCGACACAGCAATTTAACAGGGTTTGCCTTTGGGTGCTTGACAGGTTAAAATGTGTTTGTCTTGACTTACTCAAAAAAGTGAAGAAAAAAAAAGATAATAAATAAGTTAAAGCTTTTAAGTCTGAGTTCAAAGAGTTCTGCATTTTCAGGGTCATTTTTCTTCCTGTCCAGAAGTAGGCTAAAGAGGTCCCCTTTTACAGTAGGGTCTCCTCTTTATGTGGAAAAAAATACCTCTTTCTCATTAATTGTAGTCCTTTTAGTGCATATTAACTTTTTTTTCTTTAAACGTAAATCATTTTTTCTACAGATATATCTTTGGGAATATCTAAAGAATTTTTTCTTGTCTGAGCATCTCCAGCTTTCAGCGCTCAGAGCTTTTTTTTTGGTGTTGTTTCACATATGGACATGTCTTTTACTCTTTTAAACTTCAAAGAATAGAAACCTTTTGATTGAGAAGTTTTCGTTTGATTGAAGATGAGCAGAAAAGCTTTGACTGCTTTTTGCAAGGATGTTGCCTGACACATAAATCAGTAAATGACGGTTAAAGTGAAGGACAGGACATTGTCGTATGTTTCCAGGATGACCGTGAGAATATTTCTCTGAGTCACAGCTCTCTGCTTATAGCATAAAAGCTTTGTTGAAGGCATTTTGATAATTTTATGCATCTGGGAGAACAAGAGATCTCAATTAAAAGGAAAATAATTAATAAAGTAATATTAATAATTAATAGTCTGTGAAGACTGAAAATGTATTTTCTTAAGACTTCAGTAACTGCAGTACTACCTCCAGAGCTGTCCTCATCTCCACAGGCTGAGGTCCTGCTTCAATGCTTCAGCCATGTTTGACCA